TCGGCGCATAGCAATCTGGGCATCTTTGAGATAGAGACAGGAACAATATACATGGCACAAAATATGATTCGAGTGAGTGGGGGTTTCAGTCCCATCAAGACTGCACGGTTCACCTTTTTGTATCTCCAACCGTTTCCCGTCCTGAGCTCCGAAGCCCAGGCCGGTGGTGGACGAGGTCATGGAGAAGAGACCAAAATACACCGACGTCATGACCAGCTTGTGACCCGGCCTTCACAAAGAAGTGGTTGATTCTTGTTTCATGACCGGTGGATGGGATGTGGTGTGGCGGGTCAGAGTCATAGGTCGATGCGCCGTTCGGCGAATCATGAAGCTACACTGATTGATACATCGATACATGTCAAGCTACCATGGGGCTTGCCGTGTGTCGTAATCCGCACCCAGACAGCCCAGGACACCCTAGACAGCCAAGCTCATGGTGAACCCCAAGCTCTTGCCAAACTCAAAGGGAAAATGTGCATTGTGGTCTGTAAATGTGGGCTTGCCATTTCTTCAGGGGTTGTATCCTCGTATGAAGCTTACATTATGGTATACTAAGGGTCTACTAAATTTATGTCTATGTGGTGTGGGTGTGATTTGAACTTTTGTAGATCCTATATAGGCCTTAATTGATTGGTGTAGCCTTAGCAGTGTATTGTCCCCCCAAACAGATGTGAGACAAAAACACCAGCCTCACAGGCGTTCGTGGTTTCTTCTCCAGGTGTGTGCGGAGCATGGCGGGTGACACGATCCTGGAGATGCAGATAGGTGGGGTGAGAGCGGATGAGAGCACTCAGAGCTTTTGCAAAGGCGGATGTAATAGGAGCATCCGCGTTTGTCCGTGTCTAGATGAAAGTGGATGGCACTGGTTTGGAGGTTGTCTTCACAAACAGATCGGTGGCATCCACAGACCGCGACGCGTCGCGCGTCTTCGTGATGTCTTCGTGATCGGCTCTGCTTTGGGTGTTGTTCTTTTATTTCTTTTCAAAAGACATTTCTTCTTTAGACCCTTCTGTCTTTTTTTCTTTCTTAAAGACCTTTCTTCTTTAGACCTTTCTTTGTTCTTTATTTTATTGGAGACCCATTTTTTCTTGCTTTCTTTCTTTATTTCTTATTCTTTTTGAGACATTCTTTCCTAAGACAATTCTTTCTTTTCGTGTTTCTTTCTTTCTTGTAAAGACCTTTCTTCCTTGGACCTTCTATTCATGTTTTGTGTTTTGGCAATTTTGGTGTGACTCTTGGTATACTAGGTGGACAGTAGACTGATCTGACTGCCCTGATGGGGCGGAAGGCTGCCAGCCCTCAAACAGCAAACTAGCCAGCAATCAGTGAACCAATGAAGAGACACGTTTGCATGTCCGGGGTCACCGGGAAGACTTTGGACGCGGACGCTGAACCGCAGCTCTCAGCGAACGGATCAGCCCAACAGCAGGTTCATGGCATGTGCTTTCGCTGCCGATGAAGTACTTCATTTGTGGTCGACGGGGGCCTCAGACCGCGGGGCTTTCGTCGGGGGGGAAGCCAGTGAGACTTTGACAATCAGCATGGAAGTAGAGGAACTCCACCTCTTTGTAGAGGAAAAAACAAATGGTCATCCAAGGACTGTACCATCCACTTCCGGTTTCAAGGAGTGTGTATAATTTAGAAGTTCTGAAGGGGTAGGGATAGAGTTCAGATACAATGGAGAGCCTTGTTTTAGATATGTTTTGATGATAGGGAATCGCTGGGAAGATTTTGGAGGTGCGCTGTGTGGACCAATCTCCCATTTTTCAATCTCAGGTCCAACCATGCGTTGGGTGATCCTCTCCTACTCACGGCTACGACAGCGATTTCTTGTTCTGAAGATGATTTGATTGGGTTCGAACTTCGACATCCCTGATTTCTTAAATTCCGCTAAGAAGGTGGACGGAGATACCCAGCACAGCGAAGCGAACTCCCTCACCTCCACACCTCCAAAGCGAACTCCAGGCCCGCCAGTGTCGAGTCCGCATGTCACCTGAAGGAGGTTCGCCCCCCCCAACTCGGCCAACTTGAGGGTCAAACGCCGATGACCTGGGCACACCGCCCACATGGCGTCCGCACTCGTGGAAAAAAAACAACTTGAGGGTCAACGAGTTGGGCGAAGCACGCAGATCCACCAAGCCCAGAAGCCTCGGCCCCGACGGACCCCGCTCGACCCGCTCGCTCAGCCGCTGCCAGGGCTCCGGATGCGGGACGGGGAGTATGACTTGCTGTTCGAGCAGCTCAGCCGCAACGGGGTGGGACGTCTGGCGGATGGAGCTGATCTTGCCATAGGACTTGTAGCCGAGTTGACCCCATAGAGGATAATAGAATATGATACGAATGGAGGCGGTTCGTTGATAAGAATGGAGTGAAGACCTGAGTTAATTATAGATTTATATTGGCTCTGGTGCCAATCCTTTGTTGATCTTGGGGTACAGATCAACATGCAATTCGCAAGTCTTAACTTGGGAGTTAATTCTCTTGACCACCCCTGCTTGCGGAAGAATTAACTCTTGATAGAATTTATTTTTGTTAGGTTCTGCATCGGGCAGCATTTGGAAGCCTTCTGGACCCATTGAAAAAGAATTAAATCGAGAGTTACAGTAATTCTTTTCTTGTGCTGTCAGTGTGGCCTATTCATTTGCATCCGGACCTTTCTCTTGCTGCTTTTGGGGCTGCAAGATGGCTGCGGTGCAATTGATGGCAGCTGCTCGAGACTGTGCAGCTCAGTAAAGCTTCCCTTCGTTCTAGGGCCTTGCAGTGGCTTGACTAGGAGAACAAGATGACTCATCCTTTGGTGACTTCTTCAGGGAAAGGTCAAGGAGCATCTTGAGTGCACACAAAAGTGGCTAGCACTACAAGCACCTACCTAAAGGTTAAGGAGAAAATAAAAATAAAGAGATAGATCAAGAGAAAAAGGCAAGGAGACAGACTGAAAAAGAATTAACTCCAGAGCTATTTCCTTTTTGATGACTTCTTTCTCCCACCTTCTTCTCCTAAACTTCTCTCACCTAGATAGAACAAAGTGGACCTAAAGGTAAAGAAAAAAGAGAAGGGAAAGACAGAGATAGACTAAGAGAAAGTCATCCTCAAACAACTGCAAGCAAGTGAGAAGGTCCTGCGATGCACCGGTCCGGTCCCTTTCGTTGTCCCCGGTCCGGTCCTGGCTTGGGCCTCGACGACCCGGTCCGTGCTGTGCCAAGCGCAGCGCCCGACCCCAGGAACCACATCTTGGGCCTCGATGAGAAGCTCGGCTCGGGCGACCTAGTGGATCGCTCGGCGACCAGCGGCGGTTAGAACCGGCGACCTGCGTCTTTCTTCGGCTGGGGCGACTGACCGAGCTGCCTGCATGGCCTGGTGGAAACCCGAAACAGACCTATATGGCAAAGCGTTTTCTTTGCGGAAAAGTGTCATGAAATAGTCCACACCAGGACCATCCAAGGACTGTCCAATGGACTACTACCCTACACGACCTTTTTAGGCTTCCATTGGGCACCCCTTGGATGGTCCAGGTATTCCATGAGAATGTTTTGATATGTGTTGTGTGGGTCAAAGGAGTGGCTGTGGAGACTTGATGGGGTGTCGGTGTGGAAAAAAAACAACTCCAGTCTCGAAACACTGATGGATCCACATTGTTCGAAGCGAATGTTTGATTATTTTTTCGTGGGCTTGGAGGGTCCAACTGTAGAATTGGACGAAGCTGCCGTGAAAAAAGCGTGTAGGAACCATCCTCAGTTCGTCCCTTCCATTGGATCACTACTCGACCCAGTACACTTCCCAGACTCAACCAGCTGCTTTGGAGCAGTGTGCCACGCCCAGACTCAGGATCACTTGCCCAGGGGTGTTGGTTTCAGAAGGTTTCAGATACTTGTTCAACCTCGAAAGAGCACATTTACTTGGGATGATTCCCACAGGTCCTCCCATTTTTCAAGTGAGTTGAAGCCACCCACCCTGTCCACCATGAAACCGTCCCTTCATGGCTCCGCTTCATGGCTCCGCTTGCTCCAAGGGAAGCTCATCTCTGAAATTCCAGAGCACGGCATCGAGCTCATGCTCGTGAGGCCCGGTGTTTGATCGGTCGTGGATGAGAGATGTAGAGAGCATGTTCTGTGAAGGCATAGGCGAAGATCGCTCCTGGCCCATCTCCTCAGGTTCGGTGCTTAGACCCCCTAAATCCACCCCAACCACCTTCTGAGAATGTGGTTGGAGCCCTAGGGGATATGCAGGCTAAGTACGAGGGACATCGTGGGTAGTTAGAAAGGCTAGAAACGGACGTGACTTGGATGTGCAAATGGGTTGGGGATGGTTGGGGATGAGGCACATTGTGAACTCTGAGTTGATCTGATTTGTTTGTGAAGAGACCCTGCAAGACACAGGCTTTTCATTCTACTCGAGACGTTCCTTTCTTGTTTGAGGAGACGCCAATCTCGGAACCGCGTGAGGTTGTTTGGTTTGTTGTGCGTACATGTGCGTGCTACTTTCTATATCTTACTATATAGATGTCTATATAGTTACTCATATATACCATATATATATATATCGATTGCATTGCAAGAAGACCATTTGGACCAACCTCCGAGTCGCCGAGGGCTTTTCAGCCAACCCGCACCCGCACCGAGTCGCTCTCTCGCTCTCACCGAGACCCTCCAGGAACCTGCGGCCAGATGAGGACCATCCGATGGATCACTGGCCCAACGACGAGTACGAGGACCATGAGATCGATCAAGTCATGCGACGAGGCGCGCGAGGAGACCGATGCAGGTCCGCGAGGAGAGCAGGTGCGCGAGTAGGTGGGGAGATCACCTAGAACGCGATATGTCGCGATGCTGAGTTGGTGGATCACCTGCCAGCTGCTACAGTCTGCTACAGTTGTTGTTTGAAGGTTCCATTTTTGTCCCCATGAACATCCATGAACCAAGGCCGGATGGCCACCCGAAAACCCTCCACTGAATCAACACACCTTACCGCTCAGAACTGCGGTTGACCCTTCACGGCGGGACCCGTTCGTACCGGTGGAGGGATGCGGAGAACCCGAAGGGTGCCATCCTGGCCATTCGCGTTTTTTTGGTGTTTTTGTTGCCCTATAAGCTACAAGAGTGCTACATGCTGTAGCTACAAGTGAAACATGCAATGCTAGTTGCAATGCTATAGATTGTACTTGTAGCTTGAGTAAGTCACTTGTAGAAGTCCTTGATGAAGTTGAACATCGTGCTGCAGGCCACTCCACTGCCTAAATTCTCAATTTTCACATGCTGCTGCCAATGTAAGATTTGGAAGTTGCTTGTCACTGTTGCCAGTCACCAAACATTTCTATGCATATAAGTTTACATACCTTCACCTTTCTTTGCCGCGGAATCCAAAGGGCAGTGGGCGAGGGATAGCTCTTCAGACGACCGGATTTGAATCTAGGAGACGAATGACAATGACGGATTTCCTCAAGTCAGAGTCAATTGAAACAAAGTTTGCCCCTTGCATGACGGTTTGGAAGATAACTTTCCTGCTCCAGGTGGTGGCTTTGCTAATTTGGTTGAAACAAGTGCATGGATCTTTGATAAAAGAATCCGTGTTGCCATTTCCCCTATGAAATGGGAGGGGTCAGGCCTTGTATAAAAAGAATATGTTGTAGTAAAATATTTTTTTTGGCTTGCCGAAGCCATTTTGTAGAGCCCATTTTGTAGCAAAAAGCGTGCTTCTGGAACCTGGGCACCCATTTTGTAGCAAACAAACATGGACTGTCATGGAGCCTGGAACCTCATTCTGTAGTAGAATCTCGTCACTTTTGGGTGGTGTATCTTGCAACCCAGGAACTCATTTTGTAGGGGAGAACGTGGCGTAGTTTACAGTTGCCATTTGGCTCAACAAACAAGATGGAACCCACGAACCCGAATGCAAACACGTTCCATATGCCCAAATGACACTCTTGTAGGACACTCTTGTGTGTAGGAAGCTCTTGCGGGGCACTGTTTTGGGACACTCTTGTAGGACACTCTTGCGGGACACTCTTGTAGGACAC